GAAAATGCAGTACAAAATTACACTCCCAAGCCCTGTAATTGAATCTGTCAGTATAAAGAAAACCTACATCATTAGTGGGAGTCCTCTTTTGTACATCAAAAGGTTGGGAGCAATGCAGTCTCTGATTGGTATAGAAACACCAACTGGAGGGAGGGAGTGTTCAGTGTAAAGAAGCAACCTAAAAAAATAACTTAAAGCTTGTGGGACACTTGTAATACAGACTTCAAATAGGCAGTGGGCAAAGAGATGGTGGATGAGAAAGGCTGGGGATGGATTAGGTCAAATGTAGATATCAGACTGGATGGCAATATTTCTGTTTCGTCTTTGCTTACCCCAAGATTAAATTAAAGGTGAAATACCAGAGGGACAATTTTCAAATCAAACCTAGCTTCAGCTTAGACAAAAAGATGTCAAGACATCATTGAGACAGATAGCATGGCCAAATACTGTTACACAAGTGGATAACTACAGGAGTAATTCTCTATCTGGAAACTGATGAAATAGTGCACTGGTGATGGACTGTGTAGGTAATAGAAATGTGTCCAGTTACAACAGTCGGGACTTTCCATGAAATATGTTATTCCAAAATGTTAACCACAGAACCTGTTTCTTCCGTGGAAGAATTCCCAGATCTCTGAGAAGCCCCATAGTATGATGTTTCCAAAGGTTTTAGTCTTTGAGAGCTAATAATAATAAAAAAAAGTTCAACTCCTCTGGCAGTGTGCTGTGACTGTCCTCTTGGGATCTCTGTGGGTGGCTCTGAACTACTGAGGGCTTCAAATGGGGATTTCGGATACCATGGTGATTTCTGCATTGTAACTACTTAGATAAATAGATTCAGAAAAGCACCTAAAATCCAAAGGAAAGATTTTTCAAGTCCCAGAAGCAAGAGCTGTGTTCTCCATGTGTCCTCCCTTATATTTTTTGGTTTGTATTTTTTCTTTTTTTCCCTCCCATCATGTGCTCAGCTTTGGGGAACACACTGAGTTGTTGCTGGTGATAAAGCCAGTATGCTACCTGTGAGCTATTTTCCTTCTCCAGCTGCATTGGAGGATGTGATTACTGAGGCCCCAGACGCTCTTTCTTAGCTTATACAATAACTGTGAGGAAACAAGCGTTGGTGCCCGCAGGGTTGCGTGAGAAGGGAATTGGGATGCACTGGACCAATTTAGTGCCTGATCCCAGGAAGCCTTGTTAGTGCTGGAAGTCAAACGTCTGTGTGCTGGCATCTTCCTTTCCCTTCACACAAGTGGCACATATGCTGGCAAGTGCAAGTGCAGCCAGAGAGATGCATGAGCAGCATTTCTCCATGGAATCAGTTGGTTGTCTTACCACACCCTACAGCACGTTCCTCTGTCTAGTCACTTGTTCGAAAAGTCAGATGATCGCTTAAGGAGTAGTTCCACATAAAGTTTTCTGAATGATGGAGGGTTTGAGGGGAGGGGAGTCATCGTTTTTAAGGATTAACTTGAGTTATGCTTGTTTATGCCAGACCTCAGTTTCCTACTTTTTAGTATGCTTTGCTAATGTGGAATTCAATTTTACTTTAGTTAGAAAATGCTTCCATAATAAAATATACTTGTTCCAGATTAACATTAATTCAGTGCTTTGGGATGTAGGAAGCGTTGTTGCTTCAGCAGCTCAGAAACCTAGATACTGATAAAGATAGTTTTTTGATGTGTAACTAAGAAAATGTTGCTTCAGCAGCTCAGAAACCTAGATACTGATAGTTTTTTGATGTGTAACTAAGAAAATTAAATGCTTCCAATGTTATTTTTAAATCATATCTGGTGGCTGACAAAATCTTTGGGGCATTTATGGCCTAGTAAAGGCTGTAGTTTAAGTAGATAGATTATAGGATTTCCCTATGAAAATTTATTTATCCTGTGTTTTGTTGTGAGGCAGAAGTGGTAGAGCACAGTATGGAGCAAAATGTCTCATTTTACTTCCTGTCAAATAGCAGCCATGGATTTGCACTTAGATCTCGCTCTAAAAATTTCTGCTGCATGATTTTAATATAATAAATTATTGATTTTTTATATACAAGGACTTCATGAAACTCACGCTTTATGATCTGCGCTTATGATAAGTAGAAATTAGGTTTAGCGAGAAATGTAAAGGAGAATAAAAATTAGGGGAGAGAATATTCTGCAAATGCTTGTAATGAAAATAGCAACTTCTCTTTTTACATTACAAGAGAAATTTAGTAAGTGATATTTTAGAAAGGTGAGCAGAGCTTCTGCTCTTTGCAGTGAAGCAGTAAACCCAGACTTCAGAAATGGCCAGAAAGTGTCATATACTAATGATTAGGCCACAGTGGGATGCCAGCAATAAGGTTGTTTCTAGGGCAACTTGCTACTTCCTGCCAATTACTTTTGCATTTGTAAAGTGCCAGGGAATTAGAGAACAACAGTGATACTCATTGGAAGCTAGATCTAAACCCCACTGAATTCAATAGGAGTGGTTCCATTGACCAAAGCAGACTTTGAAAGAGACCCCACCATGGTGAGCTGTATCATATTTAATTGGGGCACTTTTGGAGTGTGTAACAGACTCACTTCACAAACGAAACCTGATAATTAGCATAGGTTGTAATCATCCTTGCAATCAGGGCAATTCTGGATGATTAGTTTACACGGAAGTGTATCACTGATGTCTTTTCTGCTTTTTCTGTCCTTTGTTTTATGTACAGGACTCCGGAATTGATATTGGTGATATTTCTGAGAGGAAGGCCTTGAGGAAAAAGCTCCAGTGCAAGACCTTTAGGTGGTATCTTGTCAGCGTGTATCCAGAAATGAGAATGTATTCAGATACTGTCGCCTATGGGGTGGTAAGGATCTTGTTTACATTTCCCATTCTAAAAAGGTGGGGGAGAAGGTGTAATAGTGGAAGTAATTAATGAAGACAATGCCTGTCTCTAAGTAGAATGATCAGATAAACTTGAAGTCACCAGTTAAATAATTTGTTAGACTGGTTAGTTGGCAGAGACAGCTGCTCTGCTGTAGTTTATGCTGAGGTGTTCTGAACGTTACCTTCCTCCCTGTTTTTTTGTTCATTTGTTTGTTTGTTTCGTGGCTTGCATTCCACTCAGATACTCAAGACATGATTTTTTTTAGACACGTTGGAGCTGTCAGTTGGAAGGTTTGTGGCAGCAGGTGAAGTAACAAAATAGGCTTAGTATTTCAACTGCAAGCTTCTTAATATTGTAGCCAGATCTTAATTTAGAACCTCAAATGCCGGTATTTTGGGATGATCATCATCATCATTGCTTGTGTGACAAGCAATGCTTGTGCTTGTCTATGTTGAAATCACACTTGAGTTGTACTGAGCTAATTAAAGCAGAGATAATTCTTGCCCGTAGAAAACTGGCAATCTAAACAGAGAGGGCAGGTGTGCCTGACATGAAAGATGAGCACAGTAAGTTAATATGAACTAGTAGAGCTAGGACGTCCTTTTCACATTGTCTATCCAGAGTCATATCACAAAACTTGATTCCTGTGAATTAAATTTGCCTTTTTGCATGTAAGTCCCAATTAGGAAACATTAACTAGTAAGAGCAGGCAATACAAGTGAAAGATTTGGTTTGAGACATTCTGTCTGAAAAAGAAGTCTTGAGTTGCGCAGTTTGCCGGTATGGCTCTGGGAAGACCCTTGAGGGTGCCATAAAGCAGCTGTTCTGTTTTGGCAAATGAAGTGACTGTATGCCCCCATGAAGTTCCATGACCCCTTTGAGGATCAATTAAGATTATCGTGATGGCTTTTCATACAATCAAAAAAGACATGAAAAACACTTCCAACAAAGGTTTAGGTCATTGTTAAATGCATGAGATAATGGTTACCTTCCAAAATAGTTCAGAACAATGCCAAAATCACACCTGTGTGCCAGGAGCCTCTTCTGTAGGCTGTGTGGAATTGCCCTTAGCAATGACATGATCTAATCAGGTGCAGAGTTTCCTGAGGAGAAGGAGGCATAGCAGCTACTAGGTGCATCGTTCTGCTTGTAGGTACCTCTGGCTAAAAACTCTGATTGCAGGCAGAAGTGATACTAGATAAAACAAGAAAGACCAGTGGAATAGCTAAGGTACTGGTTGCGTAGTCTCAGGATTAACTCTGCATCATGTAAGTCAAAATGAAAATCAGCGAACAGGCACCCTATGATTTGATATTCTGCTGAGACTTTTGCATCAGCCTTTGAAGGTTCCTCACTGGCAATATACAAACCAAAAAGAATCAGAAGAGTTTATTACAGAAATACTGAACTCGCTGGTCAGCAGAACGTGCATATTTAGGTACTGCATAATAATGCACATGATGCAGTCTTTTCTCTGAAGAAAAGAGTAGCCTCATCAGCCAAGAAAGATATGAGGAGTAGGATTTTATTTCATTATTTGTACTATCACAAAAGAATTAGTGGGCAGCTATGGCAAGGTATCTGTACAGGTAAAGGGGGAACGTTTTATGAAATACAAAGCTTACTGTTTTATGAAATACTAGTGCATAAAACAAAAAGGTAAAGTGTCCCAATCTTTTTAGTAACAGAATTGCTTGGATCTCTAATCTTCCTTCATGTCAGCTTTCCTATTCCCTTGCATGTCTTATAATGGAGCAAGTTGTGATATTTCAATGCAAGTCAGCTGCTTGCTGATTCTCTTAAGTGCTTCCATTCGTCAACTGTCTTCATTTTTTGTGGAAAACAGAGATATTGCTACTATATCATTATCATTAATTTAAAAAAAAAAAAAACCAAACCAAAAACCTAAACCCTGAGTAATTACAAAAGTTATCTGAATAGGGGTGAGGGTTAGAATATAGGCATCTACAGTGTCACCATCCATTTTTATTTCCTGAATCCTAAATTTCCTCCTGTTCTGTAAGAGTTAGGAAAATAGTTGTATTGTTCATGTCTAGTTTATGCTGCAGCATATAGCTAGGATTAGGGTTGGTGGCTGAGTAAGGGTTTGGGAACCAAATTTCTTTCCAAATTCTGCAGTACCCTTAAAGTTAGGAGAGCACGATGTCCATGGGTCAAAAGCTGATGTATTTTTATAGAGACTGGCTCCCTGATTTCAGCTTGATGTTTGAGATAATTTTGCAAATTCAAAATTTCAGTAGTCTAGTTTCTCTCTGTATTCTATAAGGCTCTAAGTTTGAAAGGGAGAAAACAGCAATATTGACCAATAATTTCCATTTTTCAGTATGGGGATTGGTGACCTGGGTAGATTTTGGGTTGTAATTAAGATTAAGTCTTGGTAGTCTAAAACAGCATTGCCCAAGTTAATTGTTGGTTGTCACAAAGCTACTAGATTTTGGAAAGCGTTTGTTCCTAAGAGTCTGGGCCTCAGATTTTAAAACAGCATTATTAGTTAACAGGCTACTGGCTTGTTTGTTTTTCTGTTTTCTGTAGGGAACATTTATCTACAAATATTCTAAACTAATTGTAGAGTTGTGATTGGGATAAGAGTTTGAGAAATTAAATCTGAAGACCTCATTTTACTTTTTTTTTTCAAGCTTCCTAAGAGGAGGACTGGTGTTAAAAGGAATATAATGTTTTGTTGCTTTTTCTTTAGCATCTGATCACCAGACAGCTGCTGTTTGGGTGAAGGTCATGTTTCTTTTTAAAGCTTGGGACTCTAAAGTCTCTGCATCTGTTTGACTGCTGGGTCAGCCCTCTCAGTTAAGTCGCACGCTGATGTTGGTCAAGGCAGATTTTTTAGCTTCCTTTATTATGGGGATTTTGTGGAAAAGATTATAATATTAGGGCTTGGACAAGCATTAGAATTTGAGTTTGTGGAAGAGGTTTTGAAAAGCCGAAAGTAGTGATGGATCCAGACATGAATTATTAAGGCTTGTTTTTATCACTGGTTTGGATAGAGAGCAGTGCCTAACATCTGATTATGATTAGAGTCATGGTTGTGGTTACGTTTATGGCTAAGAAATACAAAGCTTTGAGAGAGGAAGCACTATTTAATTCTTGAGGCTTGCAGCTGAGAATAAGGCCAGTATTGATACCAAATGCATATTTTCTCTTTAACGTTGAGATCTGTCCTGTCTATTGTTGAATTTAGAGTTAGGTTTGGAGTTGGAAATCTTGCAGAGATAAGTTGATGGTTTTGACTTTATTCACTGCCTGGTTTCAGTCTCTGGCTTGTCCACACTTCTTACATACTAGTGCACTTCCAGACTTCCTTTCTAAGCATATCAATTTGTTTTCCCCAAAGGAGGCCCCTGTACACAGCTAACAGTTAATCAGAGATGGTCGCAAAGCACATCACCTCTTCACTCCCTCCATCAGGCAATTCTGTCATGTTCTCTGAACTTATCTTATACCACTGAACACCTTTATACGTGCCCATGGGTATGCCATCCACATCTTTGGCCTCAAACTCTGAAAAGACCTTCCAGCTATCTGTGCTCATTAATTTAGCATTTCACTTTCAGAAAATTCTGTCTCAGCACTGCACAGGTAACACATAGGGCTTTGTGATCAACAGGGCCAAGTACTTTGCAGTCTGTTCATAGCTACGATTGCTGTGCGTGGGTTAGCCCGGAATAATGCAAAGAAGAGCTGGTGCATACCAATTGGCCAGAAGTCTCTAAGAGTCAGCAGAAAGGATTTTTTTGAATTATTTCCAGAAATCAAAAGAATCTCCTGAGTGATTCTGAAAAGCTGTTTAATTACAGGGATTTCTCCTACGTTTGAAACTCCATCCACACTGCTCAGCTAGCTGCACTGGTAAAAAAATTTGTCTTTTGTATATAGTGTGTACCAGAGTCTCATTAGACTTAATATTTTAAAATTTATATCAAAAATCATTTCAGCCTCTGAAGGCTTTTTGAAATCTACCCTCCCTGAAACCTTGTGCAACATTATTGAAATCAGTAGTGTTAGATTATCTACAAGGAAGAATTTAGTCCTGGAGCTTGCTTTTCAATATCCTCACTGCATCAAGTATTTTTAATTTTGTGTATTTCTTTGCTCAATTGCATAGGATTTTTTTTTTCAAAGAAAAGAAAGTAATCACACCATTTTTGTCTCATGTAAGATTTGCTTGATTTCTTTTTCTTTCTGTTTATTTTAGCTGCAGAATTCGCTGAAAAGTGATTTGTGCCTTGATCAAGGACCAGACACAGAAAATATCCCAATCATGTACATCTGCCATGGGATGACACCACAGGTTGGTTTGTCAATGATCTCTCGTATTGCTGCTGCTCTTCGTAGACTGTGTAGGATAAACCATCTTGTAGCTGTCATTGTTTTCCTGCAACAATACCTCCGTAAGCTGTTTGGTATCTTTTATAGAAAGTTAGAACATTATTTCTGTGGTATGTTAGGGCTTTGACAATGAAGTTTGTTTATTCATTTTGAAAGAATTTAAGGAGTATGAGTGTCAACACTGACCCAGATTTGTTGATAAAAGCTTTCCATTCTCATCTTTAACCGTGCATGTCGTATGAATGAAACAATGCATTTTAAAACGTTTTACATACATACGTATGTATACTCACAGTTCATTTATACATTACCTGAAGCAACATCTTTTTTACCTGACATATGTACTGTCTCATTTTCACAAATCTGAAATGTACAGCCACCTTCTTCACACCAGACAGCCGTGTCAAATTCCAAACCCTGTTCTTCTGAAAGCCCTTCTTCTAAAGCTCCTTTTCTTTTTTCTATGTTGTTTTCCTGTTATTCTATTACATGCCAATTACCAAAACCTTTCCATTTTCTTGCACAACAGCTGGGTTTATTAACTTGACAAACGAGAGGGTTAACATTGTGTTTCCCCAAGTGGCTAAGTATATGGGCATAGCTGAAAGTGTTTCTAGGCAAATCTTGACAGTAAAAATGTTACATGGTCTAGAACATTCTTGTCAAAGAGAGGTGTGCAAATTATCTAACTGAATAGTACCATAAGCAAAAGCGACATAAAGGAAATGGATTTGTTTGTGGGAGTGATTGGAGAAACTGAAAAATCCCTCCAGTTTGAATAATTTTTTTCTCTGACTACTTTTTAAATTTGTTTTCTCAAAAGGACCCTATTATGCTCCACTTAAGTTCTGGAATGTGGTTTTTACTTGTGGAATTGTCCATTGCGTGATTTGACTGTACAGCAAATGAATCCTCCTAAAATCTCAGACATAAACACAGAGCAGCAAAGGTAGTCTTGTCCTCTGTACCTGGATCTCATAGTGAGCTGGAGACATGAGTTTGGTGAAATGCAGATATGGTTCTGTACTTCCTGACCAAGTTCCATCTGTTGCAACGGTGTTCTGTGCTGGCTTGCTTTGCTGACGGCCTTTAATATTGACTGCTAGTGGTAGCATGCTTGAGTAAATTATGAAAGATGAAGACAAAAATATCTGAAAATCCCATCCATCAGACTCGCTCACTGTATGGGCTGTGGCTTATTTGTCACATAATTATGTGGTAACCACTGTGTGCCTCCAGGAGGGCTTTTTTTTAAGCCAGTCCTTAGTGTTCACTAAGGAACTCTGTAATTTACCTGTGAGCCAAAGCCATTATTCTTCATCTTCTGGGAGGGCACCATAACTCTTCTGGCATATCATCTGTGATAACAACACACCACAGGCACAGCTGTAAATTCCAATTAGAAATTTTAATTATAGTTAAGAGACAAACAACAATAAATACAACAAAAGTCACTTCAATTAGCACTGTTCAGTATTCACCAGATCAAGAACTACCTTTGAATGTCAGCTGAAGTTCTGTATAAGATAGCAGCAAATAAATGACAGAGGGAAAAGAGACAAGGGAAACTTTTCCTGACGAGATTCTGCTCCTTTCATAATTACAATGTTGTCATCTTCCCATTGCTATGTTTTTAAATTTGTAACTAGTGATGTTAAAAACAACGCCCAAAAAGGCCCATATATGAGCAAGATCCCGGTAATGAGTGAGAACTTTCTTTAAAAGGAGTAGACTTTATGTTAGGGATTATGGTATTAGCAGGGAAAGCACTAACAAACATTATTTGGCTTTTTTCTATGAAATTTCCATTGCACATATTCATCTCTTGCTTAAGTAGAGCTGCAGTTATTTACATTTCCTCTAGCATATCAGAAATATTTGAGTAAATATTCCTTTTAGTCTTAGTGAACTTGCCCGTAACCACAGAAGATATTGGTGAGATGCTAATTATATTCTAGTAGAGGTGAAATGCTATATAAAGGGGGTTATTTTGCCTGCCTGGCAGTCCTTATCAAAATAGATTAGTCAGAAAGATTAGTCCCTGGATTCAGGATTACTTGGATGGCTGAGGGTTTTGATGGTGCCATTCTTAGTTCTGGTGCAAAGTTTTAAAGTTGCAGCTATTCCATTTACAGTTTTAGAGCTGCCACCATGGAGGCCTTTGCACAGTTGCATCTAGATGTGCATTAATGTATCTGGCTGCCAGGAACCACTCCCTCATATGCAGTTTAAGTTGCTGTTCTTAGTTACTGCTATAGCCTCTCTTCTAAATTGGCTAGCTTCCTTTTTTTTTTTCTTCCCACTAACCTCTTTCAGGTGTTTTTGGATTTTCATCTTTTTGCATGGGAAATGGCTTAGATGAGGTGTTTGACATGAAGTGACAGTTTCAGATTTGTATGTAACGCTACTGTTTCCTTTTAGCATGTTTTATACAAGAAAGAAATCATTGAAGTCAACAGAAAGGCAACTGCATACATGACATTAAAAGTCAATGCTCCGTTTTTTGCAAACAGTATCAAGAACATCATGTGTAGCTTCATAATTAAATGCAGTAGAAAATGGCAAGGAAATATCCTTAAATATTGCAATGAAATTATCAGAAATAATTTTCTCTGTGGTGCTTCAGTTTAATTTTAAATAGACATCAGAATTAGTGATGGTTAAACTTCTGTGATTCCGATTCCCCAGCCTTTCAGCAATCCACTCTATGTCTTCCATAACTAATATTAGCATATTCATAGTTCATTCCTGCAAGTATCTTAGAGCGCTTTGTGTTTATTTTGTGGTACTGTTCTACAAATAGAGAAACTGATGCAAATCTTACATGTGGCTAAATAGTATGATGGAGTAGAAAATCAGAAAGTAATCTGTCTGTTTCCATAGTCCTCTGATAGTACTAATGAGAGAGAATTTCTCATAGCAGGGTGTTTGGCTCGGCCTGAAAAGAGAGAGGGCACCTGAAAAACTAGAATCCACAATTAGGTGTGTTTTGTACCCTCCTTCTGTCTTCAGAGAGTGCTTCCCAAGGTAGCTGTATTTTGTCCTGTCCTATTTTTCATTACAAAGCGTTGCCCAGGTAATTATAGATTCTGTTGAGAACTTCTTTGTCTTTCTAAGTGGTAGCATCTGAACAGTATAACTTCCTAAGTTGCTCGTCCTCTCCCAGTTCTGCTGCTGGAGTGTATTGCTTCCTGAGCACCACATCCTTCCATTTCTGCCTTTAGTTGCTCTCTGTCCAAAATTGACAGTGTCCTTACTGCTCCATCTGTACAGCAGCATGCAGTATGTTGGCATACCTGCCCAGACTCATCAGCAAGAACACCGCTATCACACCTGAGCATCTGCTATTACTTCTCGTAGCCACCATGGATACAGGTCAGCTATTAGCTGTGCATGAAGCAAGGCCATAAGGTGGTTTTGGTACCTTTGGTGTGCTGATGGTCAGCTCTTTGGAAGGGGCTTTTAGTGCATGTCTTAGCCTGTCATATCAAGCCTCTTCTGCTGTGCAGTGCTGCTGCTTCTTAGAACAGCTGAATGAAACCAACTTCTGCAACTACTAAAATAGCTCACATAATAAATGCAACGCAGTAAAACAGTTAACAGCAGTAGTTAAAATATGTTCCTACTACACTGTTCAGTGGTGGTAGAACTCACATTGATTTAGTTGCATGAGAACAGCTCAGCCCAGCTCAGCACAACAGCCCACAGTTGTTCCTGGCCAAAGACACTACACTGGAGATAGCCGGGGGGTGTGAGGAAGCAGTCCCCCTTCAGTGTGATGATAGAGGGAAACAGGAAAATGGGGAAATGAGGTGGGCTGGCAGTAAAGGAGAAAGTGAGAAGAGAGAAATGCAAAGGAAGGAAAGGAAGACAGAAGAGTAGTAGTGGCAAAACAGTACAAAACAAAGTTCATGTGAGGTTGTGCATTTTTTGCCAATTTTTCTTAAAGTGGTTCATACAGAAAAGGGTAAAGGTACTGTTTTAATTCTTGAACTTGTTGAAGCAAACCTACAATTCAGTCATACATTTAGGCCTTAAAAGGTCCATTTCCAGCAGTGCCCCCATCTTCAGTGGAAAAGATGGTTGCCTGTAGTTGCAGTAAGTACATGCCCCAGGCCTGACTGCGTTCTCTTCCTAATTCTGGGAACCGCCTAAGCCTGGGTGTTTGGTGTTGTTTAAGACTGCTGTTTAACCAGGCCTGTAATCTTGAAGGCAGACTGATGACAGTATGTCACTTGCATTAAAACTACTCCTGAGTGATAATTGGGAAGATTCTTTGCTGAGAATGAAACACCAGAGTATTAGAGATTATAACTGTTGTATAATAAACAAGTCCCATCAGTCAATGAAGTGATATTTTAAGTACAGATTTACCTTGAAAAGTGTTTGTGATTGAGAGGATAATGGGCAGTTCTGTGTTCCCGTGTTCAATAGCTTCTGGCTCAGATATTTCTCAATTTATAAGCAGTTAAACCACAGAGCTCATCCAGGGATGTGAAAGTCAATACAAACCAGTTAGATTTTGAGGAATTCAAGTTGAGGACCAGGGTCAGAAGACTCGATTGGGAGATTTACTAGAAAAGAAATGCAGGTGAGAAGGGACAGCTGTTCATATCCTTTCATATTCTTGCAAGAGATTGCAGAACTGACACTCAGAAACTGATGACTACAGCCCTATGTGGTATGAAATACTGCCTCGCTGCTGAAGGCAATGAAAGGAAGTCATGCCAACAAGCAGAGTTATGCGAGTTTACACCGTGTGAGACTCTGACCTGAAAGCTTTATATTGTATTCTAAGCACAGTGTGTGAAGTACTGGAAACAGCAGTTACAAGAACTCCCATGAACTTCTAAAAATGCTTTGTATGATTCATGAGTGAGTGAGTGTGTATTTTTGTAAAAAATACTTTTTATTCAATGTAATTTTGTAGCATGGTGGCTGTTCATACACAGATGTTTGTTA